ACCGGGGATCGAGCCCACAACCCGGGCATGTGCCCTGACCAGGAATCGAGCCATGACCTCCTGGTTCATAGGTTGATGCTCAACCACCGAGCCACGCCGGCTGGGCCTTATGTTATTTCTTAGTGATTCTAGTAAGTTTTCAAACGTATGTACACCCCCAAACTCAAAACAACGGCCCCTTCTTACCTCCTCTCTCGCTTCCTTGAAGGACGAATTTAAAGATCCTCCTCTCCTGGAAAGGGAAGGCTTGGTGGCATCTTCCTGCTGCCCGAAGAGCTCCTCGATGGTCTTCGTGTCTATTTGGTATTGATGCTGCTGCCTGGATGCCAAGGTCCAGATGTTGGTTTTGCCTCGCACTTGCTCCTCCGGAATGGTTTTCCAAAAGAAGCTTCTCATCCGCTTTTTCTTACCGAGGTGGCTGTAGCCATTCAAGTGAGATGCTGGGGGCAGTTCTGGAGGGGGAGGAGGGACCGGAGGGCCCCCGGGGAGTCCATGTGGTGGGGGAGGGGGAAGAGAGGGAGCAAACACTTCCTCTGAATATGGACATGGTGGAGGTGGAGGGGGCGGCGGAGGAGGAGGAGGTGGGGGCGGTGTTTCCTCAATCATGAATCCAGCTGCTGTGGCGATAGTCCCATTTTCTTTATCACTGACCAAGGAGACACAATTCATAACATGCATAGTATTGTTGCCTTCCAAGGAGATAATTTCTTGACCTTGAGGACGCAGACACAAACCTCAAACTTGTGTCATGCTTTTTCACGCACTGGTCTGCCACCAGGGACAAAGGCAGCTGCGTTGTGTGTCATCTTCCAAACCTACAGAGATAAGACAAGTTTAAAGTCAGTATAGGAAAACATTCCAATCCAAGCTATTCCCGTCAGAGGCCTGTGCCAGCCCTCCTCGAGTAACTGGATATGAAAATAATGAGGGGCAATACATCCCAGAGAGCAATAAAAAAGGGACTAATACTTTTCTAAAATGTGAACCAAATTTTACTACCTGGAAATGTTGCCAAAACAGCAGCAATAAATCCAACTTGGAAAACTTCTGTTCATCAATAAAACACATTTGCTGAGCACCCACTATAGGTTCAGCCAGTATTGCTCACTTTATGAATAAACTACTTGTTCATTGCCTGGCTCAGTGTCCTGGGACAATGGATACCCAACCCCTAGGGAAATTACGCACAAGACAAGCGTGAGGCATTAGTGACCTGCCTTTCCCCAGTGTGGATATGTCCTCTACCGATCACCTTGCACATAATAGGCAGGGATTTGCAGAGGATAAAATAATGGCTGAACTCACACCCCTGGAAGTCAGAGCCACCTCGTTCCTGCTCCACTTGTGACATGGCTTCCCAGAAAATAGAGCAAACACTAGACACGCAGATGAGAGGTTCCAGCTCTGAATCAAGCTTTGCTGCTTACCGTTTTAGACAAGTCACTTCACCTCACTAGACTTTAGTTTCTCATTTGTAAAATTAGGAGGCTGGGATACATTACATGACCTCTACTATCGCTTCCGATGCTATCACTTTGGATTCCAGTTAAGCCACTCTCTGGAAGCCACCAGAACCTCTCCCCTGTCTCTTCTGCTTCTTCCGCAAACTATTAGCAAAGACACAAACACACAGGGAAATGCTGCCGTGTCACACCTGCCACACGTTGACCCCTTATCCACAGTCACTGACTAATTTTAGTGGCTTGTATTTTTACCGATCTTTACCTGTTTGTTTTGGGGTTGGGTTATGGACCTGATGTGAAAACAGGGGTCAAAACAACTACATTTCTTCAGATATAAGGACAGGTAAGTGGGAACGTGGAAGAAGGGAGCCCGGGCAGGATACAGAGTGAGCACCTGACTATGTGGGTGTATGAAAGGGGGACTGTTTCCTCCAGGGCATAAAGGGCCAAAGGGAAGGCTTTTCAGACTGGACTTCTGAGTGTAATTGTCCTCGTACAGCATCACTGTCACAGCTCACACTTACTAACACATTGGTCAAGCAATGCTGCGTTACACAGGAGTAAACTGTCTGATATCACTACTTCAAATATTGTTAAACTTTTTACTCAGAACCACATACAAGAGGCAGGACTGTCGTCTGGCCTGTGTGGTTCAGTTGGTTGGGCATCATCCCATGCACTGAAAGGTTGTCAGTTTGATTCTTGGTCAGAGCACATGCCTGGGTTGCAGGCTCCCTCTCACATCGATATTTCTCTTTGTGTGAGATATATATATAAAATGTTTTCTTTCCCTCTCTTCCTCCCTCTTCCTCTCTCTCTAGCTTATCACCATTCAATTTTAAAATCTTTAAAAAATTGTTTTTAAAGCAGGTTTGCCTTGGAAATAAGAGTGGAAATTCCAGAAATAGGTTGCTTTTCCTGAGATCCTTAGATGTGCAAACTAGGGTGAGGCAGGTTATTTACCCTCCGTTTCAACATCCTCTTCTATAAGGATATACCATTTCACTGGCTTGTATAAGAATATATGAACTAATATATGGACAGTCCTTACCAAGATGCCTATATATAATTAACTATTATTATCAACTGGTTTCATATGTACATATGATTTCTCTTTACTTCCCCAGGCATTACATTTGCTTTAAAATATGTACTGGGTTTATAGATAAAATGCTCAAGCTGCTAGAAACCTTTAATATTTCCATTCTCTGCTTTCTTAGTTACTAGGTTTCAGAGATTTGTCTTTTTTTTTTTTAATACTCAGTGATTGTATATTAAATTATCTCCATCAAGAATGGATGTTTTTCTGCCGAAACCGGTTTGGCTCAGTGGATAGAGTGTCGGCCTGCGGACTGAGAGGTCCCAGGTTCGATTCCGGTCAAGGGCATGTACCTTGGTTGCGGGCACATCCCCAGTGGGGAGTGTGCAGGAGGCAGCTGGTTGATGTTTCTCTCTCATCGATGTTTCTAACTCTCTATCTCTCTCCTTTCCTCTCTGTAAAAAACTCAATAAAATATATTAAAAAAAAAAAAGAATGGATGTTTTTCTGAAATGTTTGAATATTTAGATTCTGAAAATTACATATGGCTAGAAAATAGCATTTCCAACTGTTAACTGGATGACTCTTTTTAACCATTTTTACATTAAGTACACTCGCAGTGTTGTGTAGTCATCATCATTGGATAATATTTTAGAAAGCAAAACTGAAAATATTTATCCAAGCCAACTTACAGCTCACTTGAGATGCAACTGGCTTTTAAAAGGAGTTTTCATAATTATCATTAGGGGCATAACCAGGCTGTTTTCATAGTTGGCACCCCTAAAGCAAATGACTCATTGTCAATTACAGTTTATAGTTATATTTGAACTCTTCTTTTTTCAAGACTGCACAGGTAATCTTGGCAGTTTATCCTTACATATTTTAAAATACTTCTGTACATGATATATCTCATGTATGGAAGAGTTCTAATCCTCCAATTCACTAATTATGTATAGAAGAGTGGCTAACCCTTCAATCCCAGATATGCTGACTTGTTTATAGATTATCCCTGCTAAGAATGATGATAAGATTAAAAAAAGTCTCTATCCTAGAAAGCAATAATTCATCCAGTGCTGAGTAAATATATGCACAGATGTGCCATTAAACCTCACATAGCAAATGTAAATATACTAATAGAGTGAGAAAGACTATCTACCCGGAAATTATGCAACAGCACTATCTTCCAATACCAAAGCTCCAAAGAATACATGTCTTTTTTATTTTTACTTTATTGATTTTTTTACAGAGAGGAAAGGAGAGGGATAGAGAGTTAGAAACATTGATGAGAGAAAAACATCGATCAGCCGCCTCCTGCACACCCGCCACTGGGGATGTGCCCACAACCAAGGCACATGCCCCTGACTGGAATCGAACCCGGGACCCTTCAGTCTGCAGGCCGACACTCTATCCACTGAGCCAAACGGGTCAGGGCTGCATGTCTTTTTGAGTATTACTAGTTACATGGGAAAGTATCAGATAAGAGCTTGTCAAAGTAATAAATAAGTTAGTGATGCATTGGCGTGATTCCAACCACTGCCCCATCCTGAGAAAGAATGCCATCTGAAAAAGCTGAAAGAACAAAAGAAAACTTACAACATTGTTCCTGGTATGTTGTCTGGCTAATTTTTCCCCACGGTAACATACAAGAATCTTAGGCCCCCCCAACGGCTTCCAATGAATACACTGTCCAGTAATGATTAGCCAAGATGCTAAGGCTTTTACAACTGGCGACAATAGGGCTTCCTCCCTGGCCCGGACTTCACATGTCAGACAGAGGTGGGGGAAAGACAGTGCAGACAGACATTCTAACCCTTTCCACCGTCTCAGGGGACATTAGAACAGGAGGACACACAAAGAACATTTAATTTCCTGTGGTGCTATCTACAGTCAAGATGCAAACATACCCGCTCTAAGTCTGCAGGGAAAACACAGGTGTCCTAAAGACACTGGCTGTTGATCACGGCCGCTGATTGCCAGGAGGGGCAATAGAAATAAATAATCTCGCTCTGTCTGGAAAATGTCAAGTATCCATCAATCTCCCCTGGGCAGACAGACAGGCTTGTATTTAACGTCTCATCCCCAGGCTGGGGACCGCAGCAGCAGGGAGGGTGGCTGCTCCGGCTGAAGATGCCCCGCTCTGAGTAAAATGGAGAGCTGCCATGGCCCGGCTGGAAGAGAACTTCTCTTGAAGTCCCCAAGTGCTAATCAGGACCCAGCACAGGTGTGTCTGAGTGATAGGCGCTCTTGGGGAGGCTGTATCTTTTTTACCACGTGAATTTTTAATAAGGGGACTCTGCAACCATGGCCTTAGCCGTTAGCTGATCAGCAAGCAAAAAGTCTTAGGGCGAGCATGCTCATGGGGTCTCCAAAGAAGCCCTCTGGCCCCTTTCTAAACGCTCCCGCCTAGACAGCCACATTACTTTGCTGCTGGTGTCAGAAACATAGTCAAAGCTCTATTCCCTTGAAGGGAGTGGGCGAGAGGGAAGAAAAGAGAGTATGTATGCTTCATTTCGGCATATTTAGTGGGAAAACAGGCTCCTGAAAGTCAGAGTTCAGAGCTCGGAGCTTTCCTGAGAGAGGGGTTAGTGGGGCTTGTTGCTCAGCTGGCCACTCACCCCCTAGGACGGTCAACCATCATCAAAAGGAAAGCCCACACCAGAGAGCCTTCCCGCTGGATTGCTGACATGTGTCACAGATGAGGTGGGCGCAGGAAGGGCTGGCCCATACCCTTCGGATGACAAACGGGGGCGGAACATGCCAAACTTGGCGAGAAGAGGCAGAGAAGCCCACGGCCCGAGTTTATTTGGGGGGAAAGAAAGGCCGGAGAGAGGACAGGCAATTCTAAAACAGGGAATTTTTGCTCCCCACGAACTCATCGGGAAAAGGCTCCTCCCCTGGGCCTATCTTTCCATACCTTTACTACACACAGAATGTCCACCACACAGGCGAACCGGAGCTGGGAGCTGGCAACGAAGGCCGTTTCCAGCCAGCGAGTGTAGCTACAGCACAACACAAACAGTTCACGGATGCCTGGGAGCGCAGCGCCCTGAGCGCGGCGAGAGAACGCCTGTTTTTGAATCTGCATTTCCAGTTTCTCTCAATGCCCCAAACCAAGGGGGAAAAAAAAAAAGCAAACGTGCGCCAAAGGATGCTGTAAAGAGAAGGAAGGAAGCGCGGGCTCCTCATTCCGGGCAGACGACTGTGGGAGCGCGGAGGGGGAGTCACAGACGACCCCACAGTGTCTGCGCAAACAGCTGTTTGAAACGGACTTGGTCCTGCAGAAACTCCACGCGGGGGACATCGGGGGCACGTTTTCCTTCCCAAAGTCGGATACAGAGTCGTCCCCTAAGTCTTTGCATTGGCGAGCGG